AATTTAGTTAGAAGATTCCGCAATGGTTCCTGCTGACCAGAGTAGGCTATACCATGACAACTTCTAACTTGCAGCATGGACTCATAAAGGACAGAAGCATGATTTTGTTCAAAAGCCTCATTTTCAACTTTCGCCCAACTCTGAGAAAAACAGTAAGAATAAAAGTTGCTTGCAGTTTGTCGTCCTCTATATGATTGTCTACCTGGCTATCTCTAACGTTATCTGCATCACCTTTTCAATGGAATCTGGCTAAGGACAAGTATCATATGTTCTAAAAACAGAACAGACAGTACCATGTGCTGAGGAAATGGATGGAATGTTCTGCATTGGCCATCTACTACTTTGTTTTGATATATCCTTCGTGATTGTATCCCTTTCATCAGTAGCCAAGAATGCATATAAATTGTTGGTGACTTGTGGCTGTTTCTCTTCTTGACTTATTATTTTTCTTCTTTTTCTTCAATCTTTTCTTGCTTTTTATTTGAGTTCATTGACCGCCAACTGCAACTAGTTTGAGATAAAGGTGTTGTTGATATTACTCATCACCTTGGCAGCTGAAATCAGATGGTCTTAATATTCCAATTGTGATTGCCTGAAACTGCATTTCCTCCTATTTATGAACAAATGTCCTTCCTTCAACAATTAGAATACCATTCTTAAATGGAGGATATGGTCTTGATATGGGACTGGTGACTTTTGTTGTAGACATGTCATCAAAATATACAGCACAAACTTCCTTAAAAAGGTCTCAACACCCCATTCATAAGAGAATAGAATGTTGAAGGGGCACTGGACAAGCCAAAAAGGCATGACAAGAAACTGGCAATGTCCCACATGAGTCCTAAAAGCAATCTTGGGTATGTTAACATCCTTCATTCTGACCTGGTGATACCCATTTCAGGTCCATCTTGGAGAATACAATAGACCCACCCAATTCATGAAGCAACTCGTCGATTGCTGGAAGTATAGATTTATTTGGTACTGTGAATTGAAAGCCCTATAGTGTACACAAAACCTCCACCCATCTTGCTTCGAACGAAAATAACCGGACTAACAGGGGCTGATGCTCAGTGTAACGCCTGGCAACTTGCAAGGATCAACGACTGTTAGAGCCGTCAAAACGGGCCAGCCTGGCCCGTTAGGCCTTAGCCCGCATGGGCCAAAAAATCATATAACTCTACGGGTTAGGGCCAGTCCGCGGGCCAAAAAACTTTTTTTTTCTTTAGATTATAGCTGCTATAAATTAACATAGACTTGTCAATTAAATATTCCATAACATAATGTAATTTATATATTCAATTCAAATAATTACCTGAATTGCTTAATAGCTAATATAAACTTCCTACTATGCTCAAATGGGTATAAACCAAATCATCCAGATTCCATGAAAGGAATTAGAAATACATGATTGCAGTAACTTCAACAATTAAACTCAGAACAAGAAAATAAATTGTCATTGCATACCAAATTCAGAAACAGAAAAGTTAAAACTTAAAAGGTATAGACCATTCAAAAGGAAAATAACATTGTTCAAAAAGATTCTACTTAGCAGAAATTGGCTAATCCACAAAATGCAGCACTCTGAAATGTGATCTTCTTGAGTTCCCTCCAAGATTCTCTTCTTTCTTCGTGCCTTACTTGCAAACAGATACTACTCTCTCTTTTTTAAAACTAAAACTTCTTATAAAAAAGAACTCCTAATCACTAACTAAAAACAGAATTCCAAAAGCTCCAAATGGCATAACACAACACAGACATGACTCATGAGTATTCTGAAATGTAACATTTAAATGAAAGTAGCATGATGGACTAATCACCCAGCAATTGCAGCCACAATAAGACAACCAAAAATTCCAACAATACCATCTCCATGCCCTTTGACTTTCCTAGCAGCTGCAATTGCCACAGCCTTTTTCTTAAAAACTTGATAAAAGTAGTAGTAAATTCCCTAACAGCATTGAAAAATAAACATTTAGATGGCAACCCAATAACCCAATGAAAAAAAAAGAAAAAACACATCATAAGTTAAGCCTTAAATATTGCATCTTATAATAAATGAATAATCAGAAAAAACTAACATGGGGTGTAGTTAAAAATTAAAAATCGATGACCCGAGAAGTAGCAGTTCCAAGAAGAGAAGGCTTGAGGCCACTGTATAATCCACCCCAGCCTTCACTTCCATTAACCTGATAAAGGGTCATAAATATAATTAAAAAAATATATTATAAACACAACAAAACCAAAAAAAGAGAGCAAAATTTGCACCCTGAAAGATCTGAAGAAGAGTACCAGGAGCAGGAACAATACTAGGACTTAGCTTGTTCCTCTTGAGATTTATCTCAGTTTGTTGGCGTGCGTTTACTTGAAAATAACAATGGAATTGGTTATATAGACAAGGGAGAAGAAAGGTAGAGAGATAGAGAGAAAGATTGGGTACCGTTTGAAGAGGATAAGTTATGATTTGAGCAATAATACCGCCACTTGCACCTGCACCAACTCATTTGGCTTCAAATTAGAATCGACGGAAAGTGGAAGAAGCGATAACAATGAAAAAGAGAGAGAAGATACCGTGACAGAAGAAGAAATTAGAGCGTTAGTGAAGAAGAAAACCAGAAAAATTGGGATTTAGGGTTTAGAAAAAAAAGCATCGGGCTGGCCCATAGGGTTATTGGGTTAACCCAAAAGAGATTAGGGTTGGCGGGGCTAGGGTAAAAAATAACCCCATCAAATGTGGGCTAAAAAAAGATGGGGCTGAAAAATGGGGTTGAAGGGCTGGCCCGTTTTGACAGGTCTAACGACTGTCCCCACACACTAACACGAGACTTTTCAGCGTGCTTTGTCCTCACTCGCACACTTTCTGAAAATTCCCAGGAGGTCACCCATCTCAGAATTGCCCAAGTCAAGCACGTTTAACTATGGAGTTCTTCCGTTCCGGACTACCGAAAAGTAAATGCATCTTGTTAGTATAGGTAGTACCAATTAATTTTTATAAGCTATTCCCAACTGTACCGTCCCATACCAGCACAGTCTCTGGAATCCCTCTCTTTCGGGTGTTGATTCGATTCATTCATGTACCCCCGTCGCTGGAAGCCTGCCAGGAGCCACTCCTTGTCCATGCCCTTTCGCACCGGCGATCACTCCTCGCCCTCGTTAGCACCCGGAATGTTACATGCTCACCGGCTTCTGCCTGGTTCGTCCTCGAACCACACCGTACTGGAAGAGAGGCCCTGCTCTGATACCACTTGTAACACCTGACAACTTGCAAGGATCAACGACTGTCCCCACACACTAACACGAGACTTTTCAGCGTGCTTTGACCTCACTTGCACACTTTCCGGGAAAATTTCCCAGGAGGTCACCCATCCCAGAATTGCCCTAAGTCAAGCACGCTTAATTATGGAGTTCTTCCGTTCCGGGCTACCGAAAAGTAGATGCATCTTGTTAGTATAGGTAGTACCAATTAATTCTTATAAGCTATTCCCAACTATACAGTTCCATACCAGCACAGTCTCTGGAATCCTTCTCTTTCGGGTGTTGATTCGATTCGATTCATTCATGTACCCCCATCGCTGAAAGCCTGCCAGGAGCCGCTCTTTGGCCATGCCTTTTTGCACTGGCGATAACTCCCTGCCCTTGTTAGCGCCCGGGATGTTACACTCAGCTTAGTTATGCCTGCAATCAACATTTCTGCCACAATCTTTTCTATCTCACTTTTTTGATAATAGGAGAATGTTGGTCCTTCTTTTAAGGAAATTGCATGGTCATGTCTTCTCAGTGGTGGTAACCTGTATGACTCCTGGAACAACTTCTGTAATTTGTGCAATACCTCCTCCAATTCAGCCCAAGAAGGTTGCACCTCTTGTTTTTTGTGTGCCAGCACCTTGTGCTCAATATAGTGGCCTTCACCCTCGTACTGTAGAGCTTTAAATATTAGCTTTCAAGGATGCTGAAGTTTGGATGCTGAGGGATCTCCCTTGAGAGCTACTTCTCGTTTAGCTATTTCCATCTTCAAAGCGAAATCCAAAAGTTTGCCTTAATTTCCCCTAGCCTTTAAGCCAGCCCAGTCCCAAAGCTACATCAGTAGTTCAAACAGGAAACAATGTTGTTGCTTCGGGATACCTAGCACAGTTGTAGTCACCCCCTTACAGACTCCTGGTCTAGTAATTTTGTATCCATCTCCAACTTCCACAAAATGTTGAGGTGTTTCTGTCACCATCAGTTGCAGCTCCCTTGCTACTGCCTTAGCTATAAAAAAAATTGTTGGAGGCCCCACAGTCTATGAGATAAACTAATTTCTTCCCTGCTATTTCCCCCCCTAAGGTTTGGCTGGATGTCATTCCCTTCATGCTGTGGATAGACAATTGCTAGCCGACGGATCTTCTGCCAAATTTTCTTCCCTTTGATCTCCTTCCTCATCCTCCTCAGTTTCTACCACCAACACTTGGAGCTGTTTGAATTTGCACAGATGATCTGGGACCCTCCTTTGGGTGCAACATGTGATAATAGAACTTAGAAGCATCTTATTTGTAGTTTGTGGATGCACTTTTTGCAAGGCTTCTATGCTAGAAATCAGCTAGTGTTGGCAACTTGGACATGTATTTGTTTTTATTGTTGAAAACCACTTGGACACAAAACATATAAATTTCTTTCACACGCTTAGGTTGTATTTCCATCATTTATGGTTGGAAAAATAAGTGGTTGATTTTAATTAATAATAATAATAAGTGGTTGATCCCTTCCAAAACAGAGGATTATAAAGTTGTATTATTGGTGGTATAATGCTTTCGTTCTGTGCTTTGCTTGGAAGAGCTGCATCCTATGAGAAAAGGATAGGGGACAGATGTCTAAGTGATGAACCAGCGATTCTCTTGAAAATTTTGAAGCAGTTTGAAAGCCCCTTTTTGTCTTTATATGAAATATTGCCTTCCCTTATTGATTTCTTTAATTTGATTATTGAAATCTATTCCTGTTGTGCTTATCAATGTGGCTTGAATTTTCAGAAACTACTACAGATGCACTTCTGCTGGATGTGCAGTCCGAAAGCACATTGAGACTGCTGTGGATAACTCAAATACTGTCATCATAACATACAAGGGAGTACATGACCATGACATGCCTGTGCCCAAGAAACGACATGGCCCGCCAAGTGCTCCGCTCATAGCTGCTGCAGCACCTGCTTCAATGAGCAATTTGCAGTTTAAGAAAACAGACTCCCCGCAAAAGCGAAAAACTTCTACCCAATGGTCGGTGGACACACAAGGAGAATTAACTGGGGAAACCTTGGACCTTGGCGGTGAGAAAGCAATGGAGTCAGCTCAGACTCTTCTTAGCATAGGTTTTGAAATTAAACCTTGCTGAATACATCTTTCAGAACTCATGCAGTTTGTATCTATATAAATTAATTGGCAGGTCTCATGTAATTTTAGTGGCGTCCCATGTTTAACTTTTCTTCTCTCTTGATATTTTTTTCCCACCTAGTTTTAGTGGAACAGTTCATGCATATTTGCTGGTACAAACGTTGAGCTTGTCTGAAGCAGTTTCCTTAATGGAGCGAATATAGAATTGATTTGTTTCCTTTTATTCTCATGTGCGGCCATCATCTGTCTCGAAGAATTAGAATTAGAGTGAATTTGAATGATGTTGGTCAAGTTGATGGATGAAAAGAGGTTTATGTTCAAAATCAAAATATTTGGTGATGCAAATTTTATTTGAAGAAGTTTAAATGGGCATTGACATGGACCAAGTTTGGCCTGTATTTGCATTTGGAATTCCAACTGCATTTAGCAATTTGTCATGTCAAGTTTGATGTTGTTGGAAATAATATTGTATTTTATTATTATTCTAGAATGTTATTTTAGTCTTGGTTATTTGGTCATTTAATCTTTTTAAATAAAAGACTATTGTATAGTTTTATACACGATTGAATACAATATACATGTTTACTTTTAATTTGGTACTAGAGCTTGTGTTTTGGAAAACCTCGCTTCTGCATAAAAATCTTTTTCTTGTCGTGTAACATACTAGTAACCTTTTTTTAGCCCTAACCCTTAATTAGTCACCAAATACTTATCCTTAGCCTTGAATAGTTAGAAATTAGCCTCCGTTTGTTGTAGAATCGCCGCTCATTACTGTTCACGGTCATCGAAGAACTTTTCTGGTGATGATTTCAACAGGAACACCTCACCTCAGACTCTCCTCCCTCCGGGGACCTGTTATGTGGAAGACCCATCACTGGCGGCCAGCTCATGCGCCGCCTCTCACTGGCGCGTGTGCACTGTTTCGGCGTCCTTTTCCAGCCATTCCAGGACAGAACAACTCGCCTTCATCTCCTCTTTCCAGATCTGATCTTCGTTCGTCGAGGGTCCCATCCGTTAAGAAGATATATTAGGAAAAACACGCTGTTTGGACATCTTTTTGAATTATTTTTTGTGAGATTTCTTGTGAGTTTGCAGTTTCTTGCTTTTATCTGGTCATCTTTTTTACTTTTTCTGATTGAGGGCTCAGGTAATGCGTCCAAAAACACTACTTGCGTCATCTCCAGTACTACCCCATCCATTACAACGATGAAACTGACCGGATCTGCTACTTACAAGACCTGGTCTACCTCAGTTAAGATCTGGTTTATTGGTCAGGGATACGGAAAACATCTCACAACTAAGTCTGTTGATATTTCAAAGGATCAGACATCTGAATGGGAAAAGATTGATGCTCAACTGCTAAGTATCATTTGGTAGTCCATTGATCCGACAATTATAGACATTTTCATCCCCTTTGAGACCTGGAATGACGTATGGGAGGAAGCTAAAAATCTCTACACCAATGGTATTCAGAAGCTTTATTCCATTGTTTATCAGATAATGGAATTATGCAAATCACCAGATGCTCGAGTGGAGACTTATATTGGTATTTGTTCTTTGATGCAAGAATTCTTAGCTATTTTACCTCATGCTGCAGATGCCTCTGCATACAAAAGCAGGTGGAGCGCTTCTTTATAGTCGTGACCCTTTTCGGTCTTTTAGAGGAATTAGAAAGTGTTCTTGAGAATATTCTAATTAGTGCTGAGACTCCTAGCTTGTCACACACTTTCCAGCGCCTTCTGAATCTTAAGGATAAATTAGCAGCTCCCACGCATGTGCCAGCTACAGATTCCACTGCATTCTTTTCTCGTACCAATGATTCCAATTGGAACAATGGATGCGGTCGCGGACGTGACCGTGGACAGGGTGGCCGCGCAGAGGCCTCGTTGCAATTATTGCCAGAATCTTGGACATTTTGAAGAACGCTACAATACGAAGTACCCTCACTTGAAGCCATCAACTGCTAACTTTGCTCAGACTGATGCTACACCACCTTCTACTGGATCAGTAACTTTTTCAAGTGCCGACTATGAGACACTTCTCAAGAAGGTTTCTTCTCAGCATCCTACTCAAGACACTGGTAATCATGTTGCTTGTCCTTCTCAATCATCTCTTGGACCCTGGATAATAGACTCAGGTACTACTCATCACCTTTGTGGTAATAAGGATTTCTTCACTTCACTTTCTTATTCTAATAACCTACCCTCTGTCACTCTTATTGATGGCACTAAGGCTCCTGCTCGTGGAATTGGGAAAGCCAACCCAACTCCCTTTTTAACTTTGAACTCTATTTATTATATATCTGGAATTCCTTTTAATTTAATCTCTGTTAGCCAATTGATTCTTCGTTTTCATATATTGTTACCTTCTCTAAACAATCTTTTTCTATGCAGGATCCGGGTACGGGGAAGATGATTGGAGCGGGCATTGAGTCACGAGGTCTCTACTATCTGATTGTACCACCTTCTCTAGTAGTATGTTCTCTCACAAAGTCTCCTGAGCTAATTCATAGCCATCTAAGTCATCCAAGTCTTTCCAAGCTTCAGCATATGGTTCCTTTTTTATCCAATCTTAAGTCTTTAAATTGTCAATCTTGCCAGCAAGGAAAGCAAACTCGCTCCTCTTTTGCTAATAGAGTCAATAAAAGAGCTGATGCTCCCTTTTCTATTCTTCATTCTGATATTTGAGGTCTGAGTCGAACAATGTCTATTTTGGGTTTTCAGTATTTTGTAACCTTTATTGATGATTTCTCTCATTGTACTTGGGTTTATTTAATGAAAAGCCGTTCTGAATTATTTTAAATTTATCAAAAAATTTGTGCTGAGATAAATACTCAATTTGGTACTTCTATTCAAATCTTGCACAGTGATAATGCAAAAGATTATGTGTCTCTTGAATTTTTTAATTTTTTGGAGACACGTGGGACGCTATACCAGACTACTTTGTCCACACACTCCACAAAAAAATGGAGTGGTCGAACGTAAAAATAGACAATGGTTGAAACTGCATGTACCCTTCTAATTCATATGAATGTTCCACTTCATTTTTGAGCAGATGCTATAATCACCTCTTGCTTTCGCATGTCGTCTTCCGTGCTCAATAATGAAATTCTACATAGTGTATTATTTCCAGGAGCATCTTCTTATCCTCTGCCTCCACATGTATTTGGATGTACCTGCTTTGTTTATGATCTTACTCCAGGAAAAGATAAATTAACATCCAAAGCCTTCAAGTGTATTTTCCTTAGATATACTCATTTTCAAAAGGGGTATCACTGCTACTCTCCTGATCTCAAGTGTTATATTGTTTCGGCTGATGTCACTTTCCTTGATCCACAACCTTTTCTTTTTATCCTGTCTCAGAAAACACAGGTTGATCAGGTTTTTCATGATCCTTGTCTTGACTTTTCCTTACCAGCTGTAGGTGACTCTATCCCAGAGGAGCGGGGCCCCTTGCCTCCATCCCTGAGGACCGTCCTTTTCTCACCTATCAGCGTCGTCAGATTGCGCCTCCAACGAATTTGACCCTTACTGACTCACTGTCTTCTCCTGTCGACTCTTCCCCTCCGGATCCTCCATCAGAGATTACTTCCATTTCCCTTCGCAAAGGTATTCGATCCATTCGCAACCCTCATCCATTTTACAGTTTTTTGAGTTATGATAGTCTTTCTTCAACGCATTTTACTTTTGTTTCTAGCATTTCGTTTGTTTTTATTCCTAAAACCACAGGTGAAGCACTATCTCATCCGGGTTGGCGCCAAGCGATGATTGATGAAAAGCAAGCACTTCACTCCAATGGCACATTGAATCTTGTCTGTGCTCCTCCTAGAAAGTCGGTTGTCTATGGGTATTCACAGTCAAAGTTGGTCATGATGGCACTCTTGATCGCCTCAAAGCTCGTTTAGTAGTCAAGGGATACACTCAGATATTTGGTCTTGACTATGGGGATACTTTTTCTCCTGTTTCCAAGATGGCCTCTGTTCGTCTGTTTCTTGCACTTGCTGCCATTCATCAATGGCCCCTTCTATAGATTAATATAAAAAATGTCTTCTTACGTGGTGACTTGCAAGAGAAAGTATATATGGAGCAACCACCAGGTTTTGTTGCTCAAGGGGAGAATTCTGAAATGGTATGTAAGCTTTGTAAATTTTTATATGGCCTTAAGCAGTCCCCTCATGCTTGGTTTATACGCTTTAGTTCTGCTGTTCAATCCTCTGGTTTAACCAGAAGTAAAACCCGATCATTCTATCTTCTATAGGCATAGCTCTTCTGGCCAGTGCATCTATCTCATAGTCTATGTTGATGACATCATTTTTATTGTTAGCGATCAAGTTGGGATTTATCAATTAAAGAAGTACTTATTCAATCAGGTTTAGACCAAAGATCTTGGCAGACTTCAATATTTCTTAGGGATCGAAGCGGCACAATCTAGGCAGGGCATTTCCATTTGTCAGAGGAAGTATACAGTGGATATCCTAGATGAGACTGGTATGTTGGGATGTAAACTTATTGATACACCTATGGATCCTAATGTTAAGCTATTACTCGGACAGAGGGAGCCATTGGCAGACCCTGGTCGTTATTGCTGACTAGTTGGAAAGTTGAACTATCTTACTGTGATAAGACCAGACATCTCTTTTGCAGTTAGTGTGGTAAGTCAATTCCTTGACTCTCCTTGTGACTCCCATTGAGATGCAGTTATCAGGATTCTTCGATATATCAAAAGAGCACCAGGAAGAGGTTTATTATACACAAATAAAGGGAATGCAGAGGTGTCTAGCTATTCAGATGCTGATTGGGTAGGTTCTCCTTCAGATAGACAATCCACCTCGGGGTATTGTGCTCTCCTCGGAGGAAATGTGATCTCTTGGAAGAGTAAAATGCAAACTGTAGTTGCCAGGCCAAGTGCAGAGGCAGAATATCGGGCAATGGAAAATGCAACCTGTGAGTTCGTCTGGCTGAAACAATTGCTTAATGAACTACATCTCTGTGAATAGCAGCCCATGAAGCTAATTTGTGACAATCAAGCAGCATTGCATATATCCTTTAACCCAGTCTTTCATGAGAGGACCAAACATATAGAAATTGACTGTCACTTGGTTAGAGAGAAGATTCAGTCAGAAGAGATCGAGACAGCATTTGACAATTCTAGTTATCAACTTGCAGATGTTTTCACCAAGGATCTTAGAGGTCCCCGAATAGATCATATATGTATCAAGCTGGGAGCTTATGATATATACGCACCAGCTTGAGGGGGAATGTTAGAAATAATTATATTTTATTATCATTCTAGAAGGTTATTTGAGCCTTGTCCCATCTGGTCATTTAACCTCTTTAAATAGAGGACTCTTGTACAGTTCTATACACAATTGAATACGATATACATTCTTACTTTTAATTTCATGATTCTAAAAAGAGGAAATGATTTTCAGCGTCCAAGGTAACTTGCATTTTCTGTCTGAGCATATGGTCTGTCTTAACCGGAAATGGATCCTCTCATCTGTAATTTAACATGATCATGTTATGTGGAAGGATCTTAACCATTAATAATTAAATTAACGGTGATGATTGTGTAACTTCCTATCCTTATATTTTTTCTCTCTCCTCTCTTATCACCATTAACTCACTTATGTATGGTTATGATTGCCCGACATGATATGATCATGTTAATTAGCACATGAGAATCCCATGTTTGTCCCCGATCTACCACTTCGACTCGCGGACCAATGTGCTTATGAAATTCATAAACAAAAGATTCTGGAGAAAATTGAAAACGTCTTTATTTGATTTTAGAAGAGTGTTGCTTGTCTAATGATCGCAAACTATTAAGAGCTAGACCACTAGTTGCCTGCCACTCAATCTTGGTTTTAGAAGGAAATCATTCTCTTTTTGACCTCTTTTATGCTTTTGTTCCCATTAAATGCAAGCTTTCCTTCCCTCATTCTATGTTTGTACCGAATGAAGAATTAGTCAATTAAGTGCAAAGCTCATGCTCGCAGATTAAGAGGGTTATAACACTTGATGTAGTCGACAGAATCCATATTGCTAAGGTTGATAGATTTTTCTGTGAGTTTAGGTATTATAAGTTTTGCCCATTTTAGTTTTAGCTCCTGTAATTTCTTAAACTTAAATATCAGTTTTATATTTTTTTATATTTGACTTTTAGTAATATATGAAAATTATAGAGATAAATTGTAAGAAAAATAAGGAATAATATTTAATATAGGGTCCAATATCCAAATAAAATGATATAAAACCAATACATAAAAAAGTGAAAACTGTTTCAATGAAGGGTAGCTCTCGGGGCCGTACTCTAAAGACAAGGTAATCGGAGGAGGTTGAATGAAGATACTTCCAGGTTATATCAAAAAAAAAAATGAAAACTGTCGAGCTGAAATTCTATTTAAACCTTCATAACATACAATTTTAGAATATATTAAGTATAACTAACAAGTTAATATTTAAAATTAATTAAAATAATATTAAAAAGATCATGATAGTCGAATATATATTACACTTATAGAATTTGGATATTTTTACATTTGATCAACAATGTCTGCTATGTAGCATATACTTTTCCTTAATTCTCTTTCCAATTATCCGTTTGAAGTTCAATCAACTTTTTATGTCCGGTACACAAAGTTCCAATTTTAACATATCTCCGTTACTTACTATTTTTTTGGATTAGTTTTCCATTAATAGAAAGATATTAAATATTAAAAGGTATGAATTGGCACACTAATTTTATAAGAATGATTTTATTGGAAATGTAAGAGTTTAAATATATAAAAAAATAGGAAAAATAATTTCTCGTGTTACATGGCATAAAATTGTCGCAAGCACATAATAAAGTGGGTCTCATCCACTTATTTTCTTTCTCTCTCTCTTCTTCTTAGTGGGTCCCACCTACTTTATTGTGTGTGCATAAAATAAAATCATCTAAATAAAATTATCTCATGCAACATAAGAAACTATATTTCCAAAAAGTTATGGGATGACTTAATTGACAAACTAAGTATCATGTGTACAAATTTCTACCGCAATGCAAGAGTTTATGATCTCAAACTCTTGTATGACCATAGAAAAACAAATTAAAAAAGCATATCTTTTACGAGTAACACAAAATTGTATAGAGCAAAGTGAGATTAGGGTGTGCACAATATAGTTTGGTGCGATTTTTTTGGCCGAACCTAAATGAACCAAAAAAAATGATTCAGTTCGGAGAACTGAACTGAAAATAATAATTCAATTTGAAGAACTAAACTTATTTATTTTTTGAACTAGTTCAGAACCGGTTCCGAACCAATTTAGAATTGGCTTTTTTAAATAGTTCTGAATTGGTACAATAACCATGTATGAACAATAGAATGAATAATTATATTTTAATAAATTGAATCGTATATGGTTACATGTCAAAATATTAGGGGTGTTCGCGGTCTGAATTAGATCGGTTTTGGAAGCAAAAATATTCTGATCCAATCCCTTCTATTTGATCATATAATCATCCATTCGGTTTAGATTTTTTTTCAAATACAATCCAATCCAATTTTTTTCGGTTTGAATTGGATCGGTTTTCGATTTTTTGAAAATTCTAAAATTTAATTCATAATTATTGTGCATATAACATCTTTTGTATATATTGACTTTGTAAAAAAAAATTGAAATACAAAAGCATCAGCAAACGATAATATAATTTTTTTATTTGGACAATGAGATATGAAGCTCTACACAGATGAAATTTTGTTGATGAGATGTGACTAAGTTTTTTCTTGGGTTTAGTTGATGGGTTAATAGGTCTTGGATTTAGAAATTTTTGGGTTATGATTGGAGAAAAACCCAAGTAGGTAGAGAGAAATTAATATATTGGATCGATTTTCATCAACCAATCCGAAAACCGATCCAATTCAATTAAAATTTGCGATTTTTTTTTGTTTTCGATTTTTCGGTTTATTCGGTTATCGATTTTTCGGTTCGGTCACCGCGGTTTGAATCGAGTTGGATCGATCGGTTGATGAACACCCGTACAAAATATCTTGAGCTTATCAATGTTACACCTTGTATGAAAGTTTTATACAATAATTGAATATGATAAGTGAATTATAATGACCCTCACATTTATTATGGATATGGAAGGATAATTATAAAGAAAAAGAAATAAAGTCAGTCACCTTTGGTGAAAAATGAGTTAAAATGACAGTTAAGGGATAAAAATGCGGGTAAACAAAGTTACCCGAAAAGTGAAAGTAAAGTTAGAAATATGACTAGAAAAATATTCTAGTCCAGTGGATAAAGTTGGATAATGAATGGAGGTATGTAGATATATGAGCTTATACCCGTTGGTATAATGAACTGACTTAAGTGACTAAGTGAGTCACTATTCACAATTATAAATCCGCGTCTTCCACGGGCAAAGACAGATCGACACAGAAGGAAAGGAAAGAAAATAGGAGAAATTGATGGAAAATCTTCCAAAATTCATAACTAGAGTAGAGATCTCCAAATCACTTCGTTCCAAAGCCAAACTTGTGAGAAATTTCGAGAGGAATCCATTGGTACCAATATTTCTGGATGTGTTTCACTATAGAGAGAGAGAGATCTTCTTCCTCTAAAATTCGGATTTCTTTAAAAAGAGGAATTTTGAAGGAGCTTGAAGTCATGGGAGCTTGAAGTAAGCTTTCCCCTTCGTTCTAAGTAAGTTTATGTTAAGAAATCCTAATTTTCTTTGAGTTTTGAGGAATATTTGATTTAGTTTTCCATTTTGAAAATTTGGTTTGATTGAGTATGTTAGAGCTTGATTGAGGCTTGGCTCATGTTGAGAAAAGTGTTCTGATGAAGAATTTAACGGTGAAAATGAATTTGGAAAATTTGATATACCGTATTTTTGAATAGTGACGTATATGAGTAGTACCGTATACGTGAATAGTGACGTATACATGAATAGTACTGTAGAGATGAACAGTACCGTTTGTATGAATAGTTAAAAAATATTTGATAAGCAAAAGATAAAATCAATAAATGGTGTGTCTGGTTAACTACTTGGGTTGGAACCATTTTATTGATATTTGTATGGATTCCCTATTCTAGGTGCGCCTAAGAGTCTTGTTGAGGACCCTACATCAGAGGAGGCTTGGTAACTAGGTTGTTGGGTAGGCCATCTATACAGCTTTGAGAGGTAAGCTCTATGTTTATGGGATTCGCTCCTACTTTGTGTTCCGCCATAGTGTACAGACTGTGGTCAGGTTGTATGATATGTATGAGATATATGATATAGATGCATTCATATAGAACTATATGATGATGTGATGTGATATGTTTTGATGTGTTTAATTTGATATGTTTTGATGTGTTTACTTTGATATGTTTTGATGTGTTTACTTTGATATGTTTTGATGTGATTTCTGTAATGATATCTGGCCATTGATTCTATATGCACTGATATCCGCTTGGGGTCCTCCCTTGGGAACATGTGCACTGATTTCCACTTGGGGTTCTCCCTTGGGATTGGCTATGTACACCTCTGTTATGTGATGATCTCTGGCCATTGATCCTATGTGCACTGATGTCTGCTTGGGGTCATCCCTTGGGAACACGTACGTTGATTTTCGCTTGGGGTCATCCCTTGGGAATGACTGCGTACATCTCTGATAAGATATGTTTTGTTCTGATGTGATTATTGTGATGTTTTTTATATTATGTATCTGACTGTCATGCAGGAAGTGAGCCCAGGGTATGGAGAGTTCTCCAAAAACCTAGAGCTTACTAGAGATTCGTCTCTAACCCCGTTTGGGAGATATGATTTGGTGATATTTAAGATCCTTGGGGAATGACTACATACTCTAGAGATGTTATATGAGATATTTTCAGTATAGTATGATATAGGATGTATATGATGTTTTGTATATTATGTATATGACTGTCATTCAGGAAGTGAGCCCAGGGTATGGAGAGTTCTCTATATAAACCTGGAGCTTACTTGAGATTCGTCTCTAACCCCATT